TGTCTTGCTGTCTTGCTGACTTGTCCATTTGCTGTACCGACATAAGAGATGTGAATGGCAAAATGTTAACTGAACTGAATGTTGAAATAAAGCATGAGTTACAAATATTCTCCACTGTCTCAACGATTTTACACACACACACACACACACACACACACACTATCTTGGCAAACGTAGATGTGAAATCAGAGTTCCCACCAGATAACAAACGCAATTCCCTGACATGGTACCAGTTATCTCCAATATTTAAAGAAGTTGAGGTCACCCAGTCCAAATAACATGATATAAGTTTACGTATCTTGCAATATCTATTTTACCCACGTTAAAAACCAGTCGCTTTTATCAACCAAATATAAATATTAATTAACCAACTTTAAACTTGTTGATAAAGTTTGGACGGAATAAGCTTACTCTAAGAAGTAATCTGAATACTGCAGTAGATACTATGACTTAGTTTCTACAAAAGACTTTTTCTAACATACTAACAATGCTGTGAGAGTAAAGACATAGTTTATGCATAACACTGAAAATCTGATCAGCTAAGTTTTACAAATGCATGCATAACATTATGAAAACAATCTAACTCTAATCCAAACTGTGCTATAACACTGAAAAAGTTCCCAAATATATCACCTAAATTTTTCCAAAACTAAATTATCTCAACAACTATTCTAACTACATGAATAACTATCAACTAAATGCAGTGTTTCATATGACATGAGACATTAAAGTGTACTGCATCAATATCAAACATAAACATGACATTCAACAAGTCAATCATAGAAATATTAATGAGTCTATTACTGACATTAGAACACAGTTCAGATTTCACAGGTTCATTTTGTGGACTGGTTTGACAACTCGTCCAGATCTTGTTTGGAGAGCTCCTGGTGAACTTGGTAAACCAGCTTTTGGTGGTTCAGCTCTGGGTGAACTGATAGGACCTGGTGGACTAGGCTGTCCACTCTCTAGCCTCACGTGCTTCTGGTTCCGTCGGAGGACAGAACCCGTATCTGTCTGCACTATGACTGACCTCGGAGTGACCGCATGTGGGAGTACTGTCCCTCGAGTATCCCAGGACTTCTCCATATCAGTTCTCAGGCGAACTCTCTCTCCTTCCTGGAGAGGAGTCAACTGTTTCACCCCGTGATGTCTGTCATAGTAGAATTTCTGGTCCCGCTTAGCTGTCTGATCATTCTTACGAACAGTCTCTGGGTTTGGCCATTCAGGCTCAAGATGTTTGTCCAGACATGGTAGAGTGGTGCGGATGTTACGTCCCATGATCAACTGGGCCGGACTGAATCCCGTGGAGCTGTGTGTGGTTGATCGGTAGGACATCAAGCCCAAGAATGGGTCTGGGTGCCGAAGGATAGACTTGGCCACTTGGACCCCATTTCCATAGATTTTAGATCGATCTATCCCTGTTGGGAGTCTCACTAGATTACTGTCAGCTTAGCCGGCTTAAAGCAATAATAACTCTTCCTTTGAGATTCAAAATTCAACAAGAAATACATTCTAAACAACACATGGAAATATATAAATTGCATTTCACCACTAAAACGGCTGTTATTGTAAAACTAAAAACTGTGCTTGTCAATAGGGCTTTCGGTGCCTTTCTTCCCGGTCGTCAAGGCATCTGTGGCCAAGGATGTTGGCGCATCACGCGGATTCTCGCGTGCATTCGAGACCAAAATAACATGTGACGGGATAAGATGTAGCAGGCGCATGACACAATCCTCAGACGTAAGTTGCGAGTTTTTGTACAGTGTGTCGGATAACGAAAAGCCCAGAACTGCACACGTTGTAGATATAAATGCATTCTGAACAATAAGACGATTATATCGTATGAATCTTATTTTATTGTAATAAAGTGTTGTTGTTGTCTGCTTTTCCCGCGGTTTTAAGTAGGTCATCAGAAAACCCCGCAATGTCAGAGAGGGCTCCGTCAGTTAAAATCTCTTAAGTGATTTTAACAAAAAAAACAAGCGTTCAGGAAAAAAAACTTGGACTAACTTTGAATGCAGGAATGGGGTCGTTGACCATTGGTAAGTACGGGAAAATTGCTACTTACGCCAGGAAAATCCAATTTTTGGCCAAAACGAAGAGTTATTATGACTTTAAGCGTCTGTCCCGCCTACTGAAAGCTGTAAGGGGGTAATTAACTATGGTGCGCGCTCGGCTGACTGCAATTTAGCGTGAACCCCCAGGGAATTAGGGCGATCTAAATCTTAATCCCTGGATCGATCTAAATCTCTGGGTATACACCTTTGGACAGCACGCTCTGAAGCACTATTAGACTGCGGGTACCGGGGACTTGACGTGATGTGCTAGAACTCGTAGCGCTGTGCGAACTCAGCAAACTCTGCTGAGGCGAACTGGGGTCCATTGTCGGAGATCAACACACATGACACTCCCCATCGGGCAAACAGCTACTTCAGTTTCCGTAGTACATCTTGAGTTTGCGTGCGCTCCTGGTATAATATCTCAATATACCTTGAGTAATAGTCAATTATAGTGACATAGGTCTTCCCACGGCGTACCGGGAAGAGGAGTGGGTTTCAGGGGCTCATGAAACTGTCTTTTCTGGTAGGTCTGGCAATAGCTGCAGTTACCCAGTTTCCTTGATCTCCTCGGCCATGTCAATCCGGAAAACGGCATTACGAGCCCGTTCCCTGCATTTAGTAATGCCCTGATGACCTTCGTGAATCCTCCCCAGGATTTCCGTCTCTGGCACCACAATATTGTCATCATATAACAGGAGACCTTGGGCAACAGATAGATGTCTCCGGATTCCATGGTACTTCTTAAGTTGTCGAGGTACGTCAGCTTGGTACTGTGGCCATCCCCGCGTTGTCTGCTCCATGACAGCTTGGGGGTCAGTGCCCAACGCGGTCTCCTTGCGTAAGATGTCAAGCTTGATGGGTGAGAAAGCAATATGTTGAACATCTTCTGCAAACAACTCCACCTCGTCTGATCTCGATTCATCCTGATGTCCTATGGGAAGAGGGCTCCTGGTTTCAGCCACCACGAGGTCTTTGCCGGGCACATACACAGCCTTGGCGCTAAATCTCATCAGTCGGAGTAGCAGACGCTAGCATATAATGTCTTTGGTTATCATGAGGGGAACGAGTGGCTTGTGGTCGGTCTGCAACTCAAACTGTGACCCCACGAGGTACTTGGAGAATTTCTCGCAGGCCCACGTTGAAGCCAAGCATTCCTTGTCAATCTGGGCATATCTTCTTTCAGCGTCGGTAAGGGTCCTCGAGGCGAATGCCACTGGTTCCAGTTGTGGCCATGGCGAGCCCCGAGACCATAACTAGACGAGTCAGCACTAACAACGGTCGGCTTGCTAAAATCGAAATAGGCAAGCACAGTCCATCAACAATGTCTTGGCTTTGTCGAATGCCCTCGCTTGCTGGCTGCCCCACATCCAGGCAGAGTCGGACCTCAGAAGGTCATTCAGCGGCTTGAGGATGGTCGCCAGGTAACTCACAAACCGGCCAAGGTAGTTGACCATTCCCAAACACCGTCTCAGATCCTCCTCAGCCCGGAGACGGTCAGCAGAAGGCCGGATGCCCTCAGCATCAACGTGATGACCCAGAAAATTTAGGTTAGTTTGGCTGAAGCGACATTTGCTCTTGTTCACTTTCAGACCAGATTTCGGAATCAAGTCCATCACACGCCTTAGGATCTGGTCGTGTTCTGCTTTTGCCCTCCCATGACGTGACTTAAAGCTCAAAGGAGAAGATCTCCTCCTTTGAGCTGTAAGAAGATCTTCTCCTTGGAGCTGTAAGTCACGTAATGCCTCCCTGTCTGCCATCCAGCTACTAGCCTGTAACGTATTTGTTCATAGAGGCCGAGGTCGTCGTAGTCGGGGCCGTGGCCGAGGCCGTGGAGGCTCCGGACCAGGAAATTACACAGCAGTGCATTTACACAGATCAGCCATATCATACAATGTTCTCACAAACTGTTTCACTGACTCCCCACTGTTCTGATCACGTCAATATAGTAGGGGAGCCAAACTCCAAAAGCCTTCAAAAAAGGGTANCACCCACCAAGGGGTAACGTGAGACGAGGGTAATTTAGGCCGAACTGTCAGACAAATTAACCATTTAAAATGTGTCTAAAATGACACTTTTTTGTCTACCTATGCGTTAATGTTGTTGATGAGATACAGACTATCTTTGAGAGCTACACATATATATCTGCTTCAGAGGCATGAAGGTCAGTAGTGTCAAATAGTTTGAAGTCATCATTTTCAGGGGGCCTGGATACAGGTGTAACGTGACAGAGAGTCCCCCCCCCCCCTCCCCCCCCTCCCCCAATGATAAGGAGTCCGCTTCACATTCATTTACACAGGTAAGCTCCGCCCTAGATTTTGACCCGCTGAGGTCAGGCTAACCCTTACCATTATAACTTAACGGAGGGCGGACCCTCAGTTTCGTTGCACCGGCTACAAACTGTCAACATTTCATCTTTGTGGAATATTAATTGCTGTAGGTGAGAAGTACATCTTTTCATCAGTTGTGTCACTATTCTCACAGATGATTGACGGACAGAATTACTTCTGTTGTACAGGAAATATCCCATTTTTTTTATTTCGGTAAATATTTTACCCTTGTGCTCAACCACCCCCCCCCCTTCCCCGGCTCCCCCTAAGCAAAATATTGGATCTTTCAGTGCAATATGAAATGTTCATGTATCTCCCCGTAAGAGATAGTGACCTTCTTGTCCGATTGCTTTGTCAGATGGCCACCTACCCTTAGCAAAATATCGGGCCTGCTGCAAATTTGCAGCGAATTTGCTGCAGTATGGCCGCAAATTACCAACCATAACTTGCCGCAAAATTGCTGCAATATTGTTGCAAACTTTTCATTTTACAAGGATATCGCATCTACTTCATGAAAGTGTGTACGCACAAAGTATTTCCAATAAACAAATATGGCATGCTTGAAGCTAGTGGTTTGAGCAAATAACAGTGGGGGGTCAAGAAGTAGGTCAGAGGACCAATACAATATATAATACGGTTCGATTTCATCCTACTAAGGGTTACCAGAAGAAAGCACAGCTGACTTAATTGAGGCAGATGCAGGTAAGAGACATACAAATATACCGTTTATAATTACAGGCAATACGTTCTAAGGTCAGTATAAAAGAACATAGTGACGCGATGTATTCTATATCCTTCACACCTCGTGATGACTAAGCAAAAACACCGTATACCTCAGGGCAGGCATACTCGCCCTAGCTTATTTTCTCCTTCCTTTTCTTTTTTCCCCCTTCCTAACACCTCTTCTCCCTTCCTCTCTCCTCTCATGCACCCCATCTCACCTTTTCGTCATTTCTCTCTTCTCCCTCAGCCCCAGCTCTCCACCCCTCCCTCTCCCTCTCTCTCTGGAAGTGATAGCTACTATTTTTCCGAGATGCACGGAACTTTCTTTTAATAAATAAGTTACATGTATTATAAAGATGCATCTATGAAGATGTACTGTAAAGATGTAATATCGAATCCAAGCTTTTGGTCCCTAGGCCTTCTTCAGGGATTTGAAAAACACACACACACACACACACACATACTTGTCTATGTGTACCAACCGAGGACATCAGCACAACACCATACAACCGAGGACATCTTATTCCTTGGTTAAATCAAAATAAAAACATTCAATTTAGGGTAAAATCTATTCGAGTATGAATGTTATAAATTAATTTTTTATAANTAGTTTCAGTTTAGTCTGCCCTTTACAGCACAACCGAGGACGCGGAATTTGGTCCGCCCTTTACAGCACAACCGAGGACGCGTGTGTATAGCCCGATTTCAGACAAAAAGTTGGACAGTATTTCTGATACACTCGTGGCGGGAATTTGGCCCGCGCTATACAGCATAACCGAGGACTGGCTCAGAATAGCGTCAAATTTCACCACCTAACTTGAAATGGGCCCCTTTATGCATTCCACTGCTTATGTCAACCGAGGACGTCCTCGGTTGGAGGTGTGTCCTCGGTTAGTGGGTTTCGGGCGGGTGTGTGTCCTCGGTTAGAATGCGTGCACAAGAGCACACACACACACACACACAGAGAGAGAGAGAGAGAGAGAGAGAGAGAGAGAGAGAGAGAGAGAGAGAGAGAGACATACGCGCGTGCATTAACTGTCACCAAATCTTTCAGATGGACTTACAGCGTGCTACATTTTTGTTTGCAGGTGTGTAACCTGACTTTGACAACAGACCAAAGATGACAGAAGATAACATAACACCAGTTGAGCTTGACGACAAAGTGCCGGACATCTCGGTTGTCAGTTTGGATGGCTCTTCACGTCCGCGCCTCTTGGAATTTGCAAAACCACAGCGCCCCCTTGTGCTGAATTTCGGAAGCTGCACCTGAGGCCCGTTTATGGCAAACGTCGCCGCTTTTAAGCAGCTGGTGACAGAATTTGCCAACAAATCCGATTTTTTAACAATTTACATCCGTGAAGCTCACCCCGTGGATGGCTGGTACATGGAAAACCCGTACAAACTGTATCAACACAAAACACTGGAAGAACGCTTGAAGGCAGCGTCCATCTTGGCTGAGAATGACCTGGGCTGCCCCCTGGTGGTAGACGATATTGACAACACGGCCGACCGAACCTTTGAAGCGATGCCGGAGAGACTGTATATCATTGTAGATGGGAAAATCGCGTACAAAGGAGGAAAAGGACCATTTAATTACAACCTTGAAGAAGTCAGAAATTGGTTGAATGCGTTTAGCAAATTGTAGAAAAAAATTAGACACATATGGCCTAGTTAACAGTAGCCTAATTAAGTTTTGTTTAAAATTCACTCAATGTTTGAAAGAGGACATGGCAATAGATCCGGTTATGACATCGCGCTAGGTGCAATGGCGATGCAGGTTTCCAGTGAAGATGCTGATGAAATACAGTGTAGCACCAGTTTTGTCTCTGCTAAGAAATCTAAAAAGGGAGAAAATAACAAAATCATATAATAAAATAAAGAGCGACACATATATGCTGGAATAAAGTAGGCCTACCGGTATTAATTATAAGCAGTAGGCCTACATAGTAGGGCCTATAGGACACTGGTACTGAATTTATATTTAATAGGGCCTATGCAGCCGAATTCTCAATGACATGTAGTGAATGTGACCCAAACCCACATGGAATTAGTGCCTACATGACGAGGGTATTTTAATGGTCTTCGACAGAAATATTCTTTGATGCATCGGCATTTGCTCCAATACCGGAGCACATTTTCTGTGTTGTTTGCAATATTAAAATAAACATACTCGGATAAATAATTTCCTAAAGTTTTGAGTATTTTTTATTATTATTATAGTGATGACAACGACGTTCTGGAGTCTAAAAACTTTTTACCGACTCTTTTTCATACAAATTTGCACGTATTTATACTTTATTTCTCCGTTTTGATCACGCGTTTAATTGTTTTTCTTTCTATTTTCTATGGCGTAATTATTAGAAAATTTCCATTCTCAGGTTGCTACACACGATAGAAAATTGCCATCCTGTTTTGAAATGAACCAACCAAATAAAACTGCATCCGATTCGACCTTTTCTATCTTTTCCTAACTCTGAAACACACTTGTTGACTCTTAAAGAATTTTAACTTAAACCCAATAACTCCCTATCCTTTTACTTATTTGATTCCTTAGTTTAGACTGGTCTTAACAAGGCCTCTGAATTAGTCAATTAATTAATTAATTACCACTTGAATGAAAAAAAATGAATTAATAAAATAAATAGATAAATGAATGCACGAATAAACAGAAATATGCAGGAAACTTTAGGAAGCATTTTAAAGTTACACGGTCGATATAGGCAGCAATACATACACCGTAAGCGTTTCCTTAACTGTCATCTAAAACGAAATTGTTTTAAAAATCTAGACTTGCGATAGACTAAACAACCACAACCCGTTGTGAAATTTGAATCCGTTTCGTAATGCTTGCTATGATAAACACAGAATGAAAAAAATGGTCCTAAGTCATCTAATCACCAAGTTTTGAATTTCTCTCACTCATTCTTATCTTCCCTCCTATTTTCCTCTCCCAATCCACTCTCTCTCTCTCCTTATGTCCTTTCTTTATTCTATCTCTCTCTCTGTCACACACACACACACACACACACACACACACACACACTATATTGGCAAACATAGATGTGAAATCGGAGTTCCCACCAGATAACAAACGCAATTCCCTGACATGGTACCAGTTATCTCCAATATTTAAAGAAGCTGAGGTCACCCAGTCCAAATAACACGATATAAGTTTACATATCTTGCAATATCTATTTTACCCACGTTAAAAACCAGGCGCCTTTGCGCGCGGTGGATTTAGCCAAACTGACTGGCTAGGAACTTGGATGCTGACGAGGCTTCGTTGACTGGGTTTGAAAGTCGTTTTAACATCTCGCTAAAAAGGTAAGTAGGTTAGTTTTTATGAACTTTCCAGTAGGTGAATCCGAGGAAGGGGGGTGGTGGCTTTAGAGGACGGACCACGTCTCTTTTTCGGATACAAAACTTTGGAACCAGGCCTGAACTGTGGGTGTCGATCAAAAAACTTCGCAGAGTGCAAGGGTCTCTGAAACACTTTCTGTGACCCAGTACGCACGGTTCTCAAGCACGATAAACGTGCCATACCGAAAGAAAAGTGTGTTAGGGTGACTGACAACTTCGCTCGTCGAATTCAAGTGTGCCCTTAGCGAAATTTCGGTCATTTAAAATACGTGCTTTAAAAATGCATCTTTTGAGTTTAAAACATACATTAAATCAACTTTTCAAATGTTATTATATCAGATTCAAGGACATGTAATCTTGTCTCAGTAATAAATAAATAATTATCATATTAACGGGTCCCATATCCCAGCTGTTGTCATTCTACACCATTTCTTCATTACTGTGCCATCTTTTTATTGTTTAAAGTCGGATAAAGTACAGTTCAAATATTTCAATCATCGTCACAATTTGTATTTCTTTTTGAAAATAGGCAGCCATGTTGCTCGAACTTTTACTGATGTCACTCGGCGTTGCTGTGGTGACCGGTGACGTCAGAGTGGTCAACTCGTGGAATGACGGTTTTGAGGGGTACATCACTGCTCCGGTCGGCAAGGACCACGCCAACTGGACACTGACCCTCATATTTGACAAGCCGTTGTGGCAACTGGAGGTTTTATTATTTTGATTTCTTTGATATCGTTTTGGGGACAGTTCCACAGTCGATTTAAACGGATACACTTTTTAATGTAAATTAGAAAATTGTATAAGATAATAAAAATATTTTGGTGCGAAGAAAACACAACATACAAAAACATCAAAAAAATATGTTATAGAGCAAGTGTCATGAAATACAACTTTTTGCAGTCAAGTTTTTTTTTGTTTGTTTTGTGGAGGCCCAGTAAACGTAATTTCACAATTTTTTTTTCAGATTTGGGAAGCCGACATTGTGGGCACTGAACTCAACAACCGAGTATGGCACATAAAAAACAAAGACTACAACGGCGCGAAGAAACAGGGGGAGAGCGTAACCATGAATTTCGTCGCTAGGGGTCCCGCTAAGTGGGCCTCTGTGTCTTCACTCTCTGGGAACCCTGAAGTTAAAGTGATGGGAGCGTGGGATGGAGGCTTCGAGGGGTACATCATTGTACCGGTCAGCAAGAGCCACACCAGCTGGACGCTGGGCCTAATATTTGATCAACAACTGCGGAATCTGGAGGCGAGTTCATGTAGTTTTACAATGTTATTTAGATCATTTTAGGATTTGTCGAACGGAAATCTTTAACATCAAAGATAAACCTTTTGAAGTAAAGAAGTGTTGTGCGACAAATACATTTTGTTCCTTATATGATACAACAGAAGGCATAATTTTGCTTCTTGTTTTTAAATATTTAGTTCATCATTAAGCTTTAGGCTACTAAAATATCACTTATTCTGATCTCATAAAAACACTTCTAACTTTATTCCTTTTTTAAACACTATCATTGCCAAATGAGAGGCGGACCTTTAAAAAGCGTTATTATTTGTAAGGGAAACATTTTTGAAAAATGATTTATCACTTTTTTCGGTATTCACATGCTTCACTATGTACGTCCTCAGAACGTAAAACAATCAACTTTGCCTGCAATTTTAAGCGATTTTGTTCCAGATATGGGATGCAGATGTCGTCCGCAGTGAAATGAACAAACGAGTATGGTACATCAAAAACAAAGATCACAACGGCGTAAAGCAACCCGGAGAGAGAATAACGATGAATTTTGTCGCAAGAGGCAATGCTAAAAGCGCGGCTGTGACGTCCATCAGCGACGATCCCAATGCCTTTGTTCTGGCGTCGTGGCATAACGGGTTTGAGGGGTATATAAATGCCCCAGTCACAAAGAATCACAAGGAATGGACGCTGGCTTTGACATTCGACAAACCTATTGATCGACTTGAGGTTCGGCCCAATATGTTCTTTTTATTCTGACACTGTACCTCCTTCTACGAAAAAGGTTTATGCTTCATCACTGTTGGTTTATTTTTAACTGAAAGCACATTACAGAAATTTTTTTGCAATTGTTGATGTCTTTTTAAAAGTGGAACAATAGTGCAATTTTAACGGATTCCGATTTTCCTCATTATATCTATTATTTTTAAAAAGATTTCATTTCCTATTTCCTTGGCGGAGATCTGCAGCCTTAAATGATTGTCTTTTTAAATAATCTGTAATTGGTTATATTGCAACATTATTCTCAGTGGGCCCATGGGTCATTACTTTTGCAAAAACTCACCGTTTTCACAAAAAGGCGCAGTTATTTGTTTATTTGCATCATAATGTTCTGCTTTGTGACCACGACAGGCCAATTGATTACGTTTTGAATAATAAGTTTTTCCCATTTAATCCCATTTGCGCCATTTAATTTTGCCTATGAGTTATTCCCATTTCATTACTTATTGATTTATTTATTTGTTTGTTTGTTTGTTTCTTTAATTATTTTAGATATGGGACGCTGACGTCGTCCGTAGCGAACAGAACGGAAAGGTATGGTACATCAAAAACAAAGCTCACAACGGCGTGAAGCAACCCGGGGACCATATCAAGATGAACTTCCTGGCGTGGGGCGGTGCCAAAAGTGCCACTGTCACTGGACCAACTGGGGCAACTACCTCGTTAAATACAGGTCTCTTTTAATTTTTTCTATAGCTGAATCTTTTTTGTTTAGCTAAATCTTCAATAACTATATATGTATATCTCTATAGCTAAATCGCCCTTCTTTTGCATCAATATGGCCTGATGATCGATGGATCTAGGATGTAAAGGTTGGCGCATCTATTCGTGTATCATTTTCTTGTTTATGTAGGCCTATCTATCCTTACATCTTTTATATATTTTTCCCTTTCCCTTTTCCTTTTCCTTTTTTTTTGTGAATTTTAAATTTAGGATACACATCTTAAACTACTTGTACACGTATATTGATTCATACGAGCCCCTATAATTTATGTTATGTGTTCACTGTTGATAATCAAACCAAACAATAACTATGAACTGAACGTGAACTTATAATTTCAGCTTCTGTTTACGATTATGATGAGGTCCTCCGAAAGTCCATCTTGTTTTACGAGTCCCAGAGGTCAGGCAAACTGCCCAGCACCAACAGGATATCCTGGAGGGGGAACAGCGCGCTGGGAGACAGGGGGAAAAACAGGGAGGATCTTACCGGAGGCTGGTATGACGGTGAGTTGGTGAGANTGATCAACAACTACGGAATCTGGAGGCGAGTTCATGTAGTTTTACAATGTTATTTAGATCATTTTAGGATTTGTCGAACGGAAATCTTTAACATCAAAGATAAACCTTTTGAAGTAAAGAAGTGTTGTGCGACAAATACATTTTGTTCCTTATATGATACAGCAGAAGGCATAATTTTGCTTCTTGTTTTTAAATATTTAGTTCATCATTAAGCTTTAGGCTACTAAAATATCACTTATTCTGATCTCATAAAAACACTTCTAACTTTATTCCTTTTTTAAACACTATCATTGCCAAATGGAGGCGGACCTTTAAAAAGCGTTATTATTTGTAAGGGAAACATTTTTGAAAAATGATTTATCACTTTTTTCGGTATTCACATGCTTCACTATGTACGTCCTCAGAACGTAAAACAATCAACTTTGCCTGCAATTTTAAGCGATTTTGTTCCAGATATGGGATGCAGATGTCGTCCGCAGTGAAATGAACAAAAGAGTATGGTACATCAAAAACAAAGATCACAACGGCGTAAAGCAACCCGGAGAGAGAATAACGATGAATTTCGTCGCAAGAGGCAATGCTAAAAGCGCGGCTGTGACGTCCATCAGCGACGATCCCAATGCTTTAGTTCTGGCGTCGTGGCATAACGGGTTTGAGGGGTATATAAATGCTCCAGTCACAAAGAATCACAAGGAATGGACGCTGGCTTTGACATTCGACAAACCTATTGATCGACTTGAGGTTCGGCCCAATATGTTCTTTTTATTCTGACACTGTACCTCTGTCTACGAAAAAGTTTATGCTTCATCACTGTTGGTTTATTTTTAACTGAAAGCACATTACAGAAATTTTTTTGCAATTGTTGATGTCTTTTTAAAAGTGGAACAATAGTGCAATTTTAACGGATTCCGATTTTCCTCATTATATCTATTATTTTTAAAAGATTTCATTTCCTATTTCCTTGGCGGAGAACTGCAGCCTTAAATGATTGTCTTTTTAAATAATCTGTAATTGGTTATATTGCAACATTATTCTCAGTGGGCCCATGGGTCATTACTTTTGCAAAAACTCACCGTTTTCACAAAAAGGCGCAGTTATTTGTTTATTTGCATCATAATGTTATGCTTTGTGACCACGACAGGCCAATTGATTACGTTTTGAATAATAAGTTTTTCCCATTTAATCCCATTTGCGCCATTTAATTTTGCCTATGAGTTATTCCCATTTCATTACTTATTGATTTATTTATTTGTTTGTTTGTTTGTTTCTTTAATTATTTTAGATATGGGACGCTGACGTCGTCCGTAGCGAACAGAACGGAAAGGTATGGTACATCAAAAACAAAGCTCACAACGGCGTGAAGCAACCCGGGGACCATATCAAGATGAACTTCCTGGCGTGGGGCGGTGCCAAAAGTGCCACTGTCACTGGACCAACTGGGGCAACTACCTCGTTAAATACAGGTCTCTTTTAATTTTTTCTATAGCTGAATCTTTTTTGTTTAGCTAAATCTTCAATAACTATATATGTATATCTCTATAGCTAAATCGCCCTTCTTTTGCATCAATATGGCCTGATGATCGATGGATCTAGGATGTAAAGGTTGGCGCATCTATTCGTGTATCATTTTCTTGTTTATGTAGGCCTATCTATCCTTACATCTTTTATATATTTTTCCCTTTCCCTTTTCCTTTTCCTTTTTTTTTGTGAATTTTAAATTTAGGATACACATCTTAAACTACTTGTACACGTATATTGATTCATACGAGCCCCTATAATTTATGTTATGTGTTCACTGTTGATAATCAAACCAAACAATAACTATGAACTGAACGTGAACTTATAATTTCAGCTTCTGTTTACGATTATGATGAGGTCCTCCGAAAGTCCATCTTGTTTTACGAGTCCCAGAGGTCAGGCAAACTGCCCAGCACCAACAGGATATCCTGGAGGGGGAACAGCGCGCTGGGAGACAGGGGGAAAAACAGGGAGGATCTTACCGGAGGCTGGTATGACGGTGAGTTGGTGAGATGTGACATTGTGTTAGCTGTGACAGTGTGTTAGGTTTAACAGTGTGCTAGGAGTGACAGTGTGTTAGGTGTGACAGTGTGTTAGGTGTGACATTGTGTTAGGTGTGAAATTCTGTTAGGTGTGGCAGTGTGTTAGGTATAACAATGTGCTAGGTGTGACAGTGTGCTAGGCGGAAATGATTCAGCTACGGTGTGATGTTGATGTTGTGTTGGACGTGGCAGTTTGCTAAATGCAACACTGTTTAGAGCATTCCTTGGGGTACGGCACTGAGCCATATGAACCCTTGTTTTGTCAGATTTCTAAGTATTATGACCGTGAACTAGGTACAATGCATATACCTGTTCTGTCTCCCCTCCCTACAGCCCCCCCCCCCCCTTCACCTTATTCCAGACTCGTACATTACCCCTTATCTGACACATGCTGATTCACGGTTGTAATCTCAGAGGTTCCCACGATATACAAGTTGATGCTGCCACAATGGGTTATCTGATGTCAGTAAAGTAAATGACGTAATTTGATGTATTTTTACCAAACCGAACCAGATACTATCTTGCCGTGACAAGCAGAGATATGGAAGTCGCTTTGCTGATAGAAAATAAAGTAAAAATTGAAGCGTTCAGTATAAAACTGTTACACTAAAAATGGAAAAAATTAAATATAAGACACGGTAAAAAGCGATATCATCACTGAAAACTATTGAGGCTTACCGTGCAAGAAAGAATGAAAGAAATGAAAACAAGCAAATAAACTTTTACAGAATGCAAAATAAAAATAATGAAAAAGATAAACTAAAAAGTACAAATAAGAATGTTAAAGAGAAAAATAGTAGACAGGAAGTTATAAAGTAGATTTAAAAAGTCAGAAAGACGAATACAAATTTGGCCTGTTTCCAGGAGGTGACCACATGAAATTCGGCCTCCCAATGGCTTGGTCGACAACGACGTTGCTATGGGGACTGGTGGACTACAAGGCCGCTTACGTCAACGCTGGTGAATACGAAAACATGCTTAACTGCGTCAAGTGGCCGTTAGACTACTTTCTTAAGACCCACACCGCCAAAAATGAACTCTATGTACAAGTATGTTTGATATATTATGTATGACAGAATATCTGCATATTAATGAGAATCAACTTGTAACACATAATCGGCATAAATCAGCCAAGTAAAAAGAAATAAACTTATCATTAAATTATAAAAACAAAGAAATAATAATAATAATAATAATAATAATAATAATAATAATAATAATAATAATAATAATTCAGAGTGGGGATATCACTGCTGACCATGCGTTCTGGGGCCGTCCCGAGGACCTGAACATGTATAGGCCTTCGTACAAAGTTGACGTCAGCAATCCCGGAAGTGACGTAGCAGGAGAAACTGCAGCAGCACTTGCCGCTGGGTCCATTGCTTTCAAGTCAAAAGGTATTCTCGGCAGTTAATTTGTATTTATTTTGTTTCAATGAACGCCTAAACATTTCCTCAAATTAATTGTTTAAATAAATAATAAGTAATTAAAATAACGTGTGAATGGTAACAACGTTTTTATTTATTTATTTATTTAATTTGGTATATCTTACATAAATTAACCATTCCTTCGCGTCATATTAACAATTTATTTCCGTGAAAACAACAGTGAAAAACGGGCTATTCTTTGAAATGTGACATTAAGGCCATTATGTATTACTTGAAAACTACCCCAAAAGATAGGCCTACTACCGGTTTCAATAATGCCTGATCTCAACCAAGTACGCTGGCTGAGATTTACATTTAGCTACCAAAGATTGTTTCAAGGCTCCTTTTTCGTTACATAGTTGCTGACTCCTCCAAACTTTTGGCCCACGCCAAAGAACTGTACAATTTTGGTAGCTCATATTTGGGGAAATATACTACAGATGGACATATTCCGGCCAATCCTCTCTATACGTAAGCGGTGAAATCTTCTGTTTTTTTTTTTCGTCATATTACATGTAGAAAAGTGTATTGGTCTCCTGTTAGAACCCACGTACCAAAAGTATATTCTTAGCAATATGAACACCTATAAATATTATTATTATCTACGATTACCCTGGACTGAAACACGAAAGAATGCATTTATTAATTTCCACAAACTTTTCTTGTAATCATTTCAGATTATGATTTTCCCCATCATTGACGTTTTAATTTACGGTAATTAAAATACATAATGTTAATTCTGTCATCATTCATAATGCAATGCGACATTATGTAATCAGCATAACCCACCGCCAGTGTTACTAAAACAAACTGATTTTTATCAAGTGTGACGTCATTAGAATTAATTAGTGACGTCATGTTTTTTAACATCTTCAGTTCAAGTGGCTATGCCGATGATCTGTGTGTGGCCGCCGCCTGGTTGTACAGAGCAACAAACGAACAGAAATACCTGTCAGACGCCAAGAAATGGGCGGCGAATAAGATGTCATGGGCGTGGTCTTGGGATGATAATACCGTAGCCTGTCAGGTAAGATTGACAGTGAGGGGCGGGGAATAAGATGTCATGGGCGTGGTCTTGGGATGATTAAATGATATTCCGTCATTCGTGGATCAATTCTAATTCTGAAAAAGTACGCACCAAAAGCTATGCAATCTATTGACAGTTATCAATTGGTTTCCATAGCTTCTCCTGTACATCCTGACGAATGAAACAACCTACAAGCAAGACGTAGAGACCTACATGAGTAGCTGGCTTCCCGGTGATAGCGTGTCATACACGCCGAAGGGACTGGCTTGGAGGGGAGAGAAAGGGCCGCTGCGCTACGCAGGTAATCTCGGAAAGTCTTTTGGTCTGTATATTATCAAAATTAAAAGAACACAAGTGTAATGCCGTATCCCAGTGGTGTAGTACTAAGACGTCATAATTCGAACCATTTGCCCTGAAATAAAGCAAGTGACACCTAACCTTTCAACAGTCGACTGGTCATTTCCTGATTAGTACGAATTGTCCATCAAAAAGTAAAGCTATTAATGAAAAATTTCCCTCAGAGAACATGCCGTGTGGCTTCATTAACTTAGTCAGATACCATAATTTAATATGAATGAAGCACCGTCATCAAGTCAAGATATATTACATTGCTGATGATGTAACCCGAGACTGTTGTTTGATTTTTTGCAACATATATTTCACAATGTCCGCCCTCGGCGACTCTATATCTGACAATACCAATATAACAATAACAGCTAGTCATGTCACTCTTTAAGCAAATACTGCGTTCCTGGCGCTGAGAGCTGCTGATGCCGGCATCCAAAGCGACAAGTACCGGACATGGGCCAAATATCAGATTCATTACATGCTGGGAGACGCAGGCCGCAGCTACGTGGTGGGTTTTGGCAACAACCCACCCACACACCCACATCATCGTGCAGCGTAAGTAAAGGGGCACAGAGCTGGTAGGGTGTGCCTTCCACCATATCCAAAACAAAAGATTCTGTAGATGTAGGCCTATTTCACTAAGAGGAAAGAAAAGATTTAAGACCTCGATGAATAGTACAATATGTTCTATGTTGAGTGCGCCTTATTTTCAAAAATAAATAATAAAATAAAATAAAATAAAACACAGCAGAGGAGTTATGTTGTCGGGTGTGGCAAGGGGAAGGCTTCTGCAAACCAGGCACAAGACCTACAGTATGCTGCTTATAGGATAGTAGGCAACATCTCACGCGCTGATAAGAAAAATATTGGAGGCATATACGACATGTTAAAAATATATTTCATTCTATTTGGACATTGACGTATTTCTTCGAACCTTATTTCATTTGTTAATCTGTCTTTCTGACGATCCATCCTTTAATGCATTCAATAATTAACTGAATTTACTCACTCATTCATACACTTAAATTTCATTCACATTTCGACTAGGTCCTGCCCCTTGCGGCCCGGGCCGTGTGGCAAATCCAACAAAGACACCCCCAGCCCCAACCCCCAGGTGTTGACTGGGGCCCTGGTGGGAGGCCCTGGGAAGAACGATGATTACGCTGACGTGAGGACGGACGCTGTTAAGAATGCCGTGAGGATCGACTACAACGCTGGCTTCCAGTCGGCAGTGGCGGGTAAGTAAGGACGGACGCCGTGAAGAATTGAGTGGAGATCGACTACAACGCCGGCTTCCATTCGGCAGTGGCAAGAAAGCTTCCTGAATTTCAGATTACATCGGAAGGTCTCCTTTTCTCACAGATTACGTTGGAAATATATCGATTGGACAAGACCCCGTTAGCATTGGGAAACTCAGGGTGACAGTTGCTTTTTTTTAACCTTCAGTGTAAGACTGTTTTCATCCCGATGAAATCTTTAAAATCAGCCACGTGAATGTGGCCAAGTGCATGGCTCGAACCTGGCTTTAACCTGCAAAACTTAAAGCCAGTTTATGGAAAGCATTTTGTTTGAATGTTGCATGGAACCACCCTGGGTTTCATAGGGTTAACTTAACTCACAAACATATGCCTCTGCCGTGGCCGGTATGATGAAAACGACAGTTATTTTGATATTAGAGTTCCTAGTGGCACCTGAAACCCAGGGTGTTACTCTAAATGACAGTCATGTTGATAGTAGAGAGGTGAGATCTTAGTGACCTCTGAAACTAAGGGTTCTTGAAACCCATTTACTGGTTTTTTTTCGTATGAACGTTCTCGTTCATATTGTTTAATTATATATCACTTATAATTTGCTGCTGTGTGCTGCACTTCTGTGATCTTCTTTCCAGCACTGAAGCAATGGACGCTTGACCTGCTGCCGCCTGACCAGGGGAGTGGCCAAGGCTTCTAAGTGGACAGTGGTCTTCCTTTGACGATAGAATTTCCTGCTATAAATCTTATAACCAAGGAACACTACTATTCTACCCTTTACGCATACTTGCTTGTACTAAACAACTATGTTTTTGGCATGATCTGAATGACAGCGGCCATTTTTATATATCTTATAAACCGTCACACCAAACACACTGTAGCATTAAATACTAGATTGACTGGCACAATGACACACCTACAGTGATGTATAATGTGACCCTGTTACTTTGTATTGACCTGCAACACTTCTTGACACTTTCTCTAACACGACAACACGGCACGCACGTTAATGAGTTTCACATTGTCAAACAACATATGTCAAGACTAAACACAATATGTCTTGTAAAACGAATAAAGCTTACTTTTTTAATCCAAAGTAGTAGCCCATAAAATGGACTGTTGGATGATGCACTTTCCACATCTAAAATGAATTAATCGGTTTCAATATTATAGTAAACCTTTGAATAGAGGCTGGAAGATGTTTGAGTAGTCAAATGATCGAAAGAACCAATTGTGCTTTTCGAATATATGTTTTGAACCCATATGAAAAGAGCACACTTCTGATTTAATATTAAAAATGGTTGTCAGGTTAAAATGCTCATGTTGAAAGCTTTTACAACACATTTATCGTGTATTATCTGGCTGGAAAACGGACAAAGTTTAAGATCACGCGAGACTTACATCACGTCATTATAGAACAGCATCAAAACAAAACGAGATTTCACAATCCTATCAAACTGTGCGTGATTTTCACCGCATTGATTTATAACACTCAGGCCATTAATTGGCATTATACAATGATAAGATATAAATTGACAATATCGCAATACATAATGGTACCAATTCGGTTAGGTTATCTAAGTTTAAGGCGGAACGTGAATATGAATCAGGCAAAGCTGGCGTCAATAGATATGATAGATATGAAAAGCTGATAGACGACTACATAAATATCGATCACAAACCGATACTGTCACTAGAAGATATAGGTAGGTAGGGATACCACTGACAGCTAATTCTATGCGGAATAGTTTCAATTGCTATGTAATGCCAATAGATCAGGTCAATTCATTTAAGTCCCTGTAACACTGGTCGGCGTCCTTTCAGCGTCCCGTTGTGCGGCCCCGTTTGAGAGTAAAAAAACACATAATACTTCACGTGCCGATCATTGAAAATTCCTTCTGCAACCAAAGCGATGCTTGTGCCTCCTTTTTACGACCACAGCCATGCCAGTTTCCTGGTCGCTCAAAGGACGCAGAAAGGACGCCGTCCAGCGTAAAAGGGGTTTTAATCAACACCAATTATCTTGTGAGATAATTACCATTCGGCATTGGACACGGTATACAGGATATGTCAAATATCTCATAAGATCATTGTGATTGATAGAATGCATTTTCAAGATACAAGCATTTGGACTTTAGCTACATGTATATGTTTTCCTATGGGAATTACTCACAGCCATGGGTACATTTTGTTTGAGCTAGACCTTGCGGATTGTTTATCGAAATTTCCTTGTTTGCGTGTGATTTTAAAAAAGACGTTTCCTAGCATCTTGACAATTTTGGCAGTGTATAAGCCGTTGGTATTTTGTCATGGCGATAGGTTTATTCCTCCTACTTCAACCGTTGTTGTCAAACTTAGTGCTGTATCATTACATTTGCTTTAGGACTATATTGATAGTAGTTGACTCGTTACCTTCTAGTCTCTAAGTGAGGCGCTAATTTTCTGTATCATACGTTTTCTGGTCTTGATTGAAACGAAGCAATATTGTAATCCGTATTCATGTACGTATGGTCAATGAATTACGGTCTCCGGGGTGAAAGGTCTACCGACAGTTAGAAAAAAATTGGAGGCATAAACGTTTTATAGTTTGAATACTTAAAAATAACTTAATCTAAAAAGAAATTTTGTTCAATTTCAGGCCACTGTAATCTGCAGGATGGAATCAGCGGTGCTAGTTGTTGGGATTGTCTTGGCTGTTGTTACAGGTATGTGACCATTTTTGGACATGGGTCCAAGTTCCAACCTTGTTTTGAACTGTGCTTTTAAATCATTCTTTTTTGTCCTCATGCAACCTAAATTTTGATAAAAAGAAAAGCAGAGAAGGGTTGTCAAATGCGATTAATGAACCATTTGAAATGAAACAGCAATGATTACAACCAAGCTTAATATAAGCACATAATTCTATTCCAGCGCCATCTCACGGCGCCAAGTACAACTACAAAGAGATTCTGGCTAAATCCAGTTTGTTCTATGAGGCACAGAGATCAGGGAAACTGCCCCCTGAAAATAGAATAAAATGGCGAGGAGATAGTGCTATGGGTGACAAGGGACAGCAAGGACAGGATCTCACTGGGGGATGGTATGACGGTGAGTGTGTTTGCTGTGACAGTGTGTTAAATGCGTTGGGTGCGACATTGTGTTAGATGTGACGCTGTATGCTCTGTGGCGGCACGTGGCAGCTGTGCTCTAGCTGCTACAGTTTGCCATGTGCGATTATCAGATGGCCGGTGTAACGTGACAGAAAATACCCAATGATACAAAACCCGCTTCCCATTAATTTGTACAGGTAAGCCTTACCCTAGATTTGACCCACTTTGGTCAGGCTAACCCTAACCATTATAAGTGAATGAAGGGCGGACTTTCTGTTACACGGACCCTCAGTTTCGTTACACCGGCACCGTTTTAAATTTTGGAAAAGTTGATAATTTGTCTATCTAATATAATAATATTATTTTACCCCAATTTCTGAAAAACGAAGATTTTTCACAAGTCCAAATAACGTCATGAGAACTTAGAAAGTAATACTATATATGTCTATACAAAATGAAACTGTGATGTTCAAATGTTTGCCTGGCACGGCCATTCAACGTCCAAATTACGTTTTCAGCCGGGGACCATGTCAAATTCGGCCTGCCAATGGCATGGTCAGCAATGACCCTCACGTGGGGCCTAATTGACCACAAGGACGCCTACGTTAAAGCGGGTGAATATCAAAACATGAAGAACTGCGTGAAATGGCCCATGGACTATTTTATGAAGGCTCACACTGCAAAGGACGAGTTCTATGCACAGGTAGGCGTTCTGTTCGTCACACTTAATATTTTTACTTTTCTCCTTATAATGTTAATCCTTAGAATTAGAAGATTATAAGACACCAAAGGATTTCAACAAGCTCGCACACGCGCGCACACGCATATCCACACATAAAAACGCACACAATCTCATACCCACACACTCACATACACACGCGCGCTGGCACATTTACACGCACAAATACATTCGTCGACACCGATAGGTAGTTAAATGGAAACTGCCTAAAATGCCGAGAACAGAACACTTTCCACCAATGGAAAGTCGTGATGCCTGACATTATACTTGTCCATTTACCTTGTGTTCTCAGGTGGGGGACCCTAACGCAGACCACGCGTTCTGGGGACGCGCCGAGGACATGAAAATGTATCGTCCGTCATACAAACTGTCCGCCAGTAAACCCGGAAGTGACGTAGTTGGAGAATCTGCGGCGACACTAGCAGCTGGTTCCATAGTTTTCAAAGATGGTGATTATCCCCCATGATTGATCATTGTAGTGTGATAACTTTGATAAAATGAAATTTTTAAAAAGGGCTTTCAACAATGAAATCACTGTGCATTTTTCTGAGCGTGTGCAGTTGTTTCCTTTTATAATGTGTTTTTCAGCATGTTTTGATTTATCAAGACTTGTACCATTATGAAACCTTGTTTTATTGCGGCTACTTTATCCCTTTGTCTTTAAATAATTCAAATTCTTAAAACAGAATTAGAATATGCTTTATGGCAACTTTCTCTTACTCAAATCAGTTTCCTCTGATGTCACCGAAGCCATTGCCTTTCATGTGAAATGAAACTTACATGACGTTATTTCGTGACGTCAAGTTACCTAGAAAACGCTGGACACACCACCAGATCAGACAAGGACTATCTTGGACTGTAGACTACCTGGTGCCCCCATACATCCAAATCGATTAAAATGTAATTAAGATACCCAAGGCACTATAAGACCTCACTCATAAATTGATCACGCCTAAACTCAGGTCTTGAGAAACCCTCGTCTGAACCTGTGTAATTATTTGTTTCAGACGCGGCATACTCCGCCAAGCTGCTGAAACACGCCAAGGAGTTGTACGACTTCGCTAAAACCCACCAAGGAATTTACACCAGGGAAGGAGGAATACCTGCTAGCCCGTTTTATACGTGAGTGACTTGTGTCTTAAAAGTTGACTAAATGTGCTAAAACAACTACTATATTCCAATAAAATTATGATTGATTTATGCATGATACTCTTATTTATTACAAACTTACGTATGTTTTGAAAAAAAAAAATCACCAATTATCTCTTTATCTGTCACGTTCCAGATAAAAGGAATGCATGTATGATGCAAACATCACCTGATTTGGAATTATCGCCCAATATATATATATATCTTATATAGATAACTCGTACAAAATGATAATAACAATCAAAAATCGGAAGGTGGATAAAAATAATACACCCCTTTAGATAGCTTTTACAGAGTTAACACTAAAACCAAAATGTCTCTCATACTACAGGTCATCCAGTTTCAAAGACGATCTCTGTGTCGCTGCAGCCTGGCTGTACAGAGCGACGTCAGATAAAACCTATCTTAATGACGCGATGGGATATGACGAAGGCAGGGTCTCGTGGGCTTTGTCGTGGGATGATAATTACGTTTCGTGCCAGGTAGGTCAAGGGTCAAGGTAGCTGCCACTCTGCAGTCACATACAAACAGGCGAATATACGTCTCGTGCCAGGTAGGTCAAGGGTCAAGGTAGCTGCCACTCTGCAGTCACATACAAACAGGCGAATATACGTCTCGTGCCAGGTAGGTCAAGGGTCAAGGTAGCTGCCACTCTGCAGTCACATACAAACAGGCGAATATACGTCTCGTGCCAGGTAGGTCAAGGGTCAAGGTAGCTGCCACTCTGCAGTCACATACAAACAGGCGAATATACGTCTCGTGCCAGGTAGGTCAAGGGTCAAGGTAGCTGCCACTCTGCAGTCACATACAAACAGGCGAATATACGTCTCGTGCCAGGTAGGTCAAGGGTCAAGGTAGCTGCCACTCTGCAGTCACATACAAACAGGCGAATATACGTCTCGTGCCAGGTAGGTCAAGGGTCAAGGTAGCTGCCACTCTGCAGTCACATACAAACAGGCGAATATACGTCTCGTGCCAGGTAGGTCAAGGGTCAAGGTAGCTGCCACTCTGCAGTCACATACAAACAGGCGAATATACGTCTCGTGCCAGGAAGGTCAAGGGTCAAGGTAGCTGCCACTCTGCAGTCACATACAAACAGGCGAATATAGGCCTACGTCAGGTTCTGACTAATTTCGCATTCATGGAATTTGAATTTTTATGGGATGTTTTTAAGTCCTTTTTATACTTCATGAAAGAATAACTAATAAACATGAATTGATATCTTGGCAAATAAATTGATGAATAAAAGCAAAGATAAATTTTTAAAGGAAAAATGATTAATGATTGAAATAATTAAAGAAAATTAAAGATTATTAATTAATCTTGCCAAAATTTTCACTAAAGACATGCTGAAGTACCAAATTCGCCGAAATAACGTTTTGTATTTTCTTTCTCCTAAAGTTGCTGCTGTACGGAATCACCAAGAATGCCAAGTACCAGCGCCCTGTGGTACAGTACATGACTCAGTGGCTGCCCGGAGGGTCCGTGCCATACACCCCCAAGGGCCTGGCCTGGAGATTACAGTGGGGCTCTAATAGATATGCAGGTGAGTTGTGACGTCATAGTTCTGACCTGCTATACAGGGTGATATGTGACGTCATAGTTCTGGCCTGGAGTCTATACAGGGTGATATGTGACGTCATAGTTCTGGCCTGGAGTCTATACAGGGTGATATGTAACGTCATAGTTCTGGCCTGGAGTCTATACAGGGTGATATGTGACGTCATAGTTCTGGCATGGAGGTTACAGTGGTGCTTCAATAGATATGCAGGTGGGTTGTGACGTCACAAAAAATAAAACGTCAGGTTGAAAAACGTGCGGTGCTACGTCATTGGTATTAATTTTTTGAGGGGGGGGGGAGGGGGGACTCACATAATTTGTGCATGCTTCACGTGAATGAAATTCAGTACGACGTAACTGCCTGACGCTATATATTTTATATCAGTTTATAAGCAAATATTTTCAGTTCTGGTGATATAAAAAGTCTGAATATAAAACAGGTAAACGATACCTCTTTTTTTCACAGCTAACAGTGCGTTTGTAGCCGCGAAGGCCGCAAGCATGGGCATTAATACAGCACAGTACAAGAGCTGGGCAGAGAAGGAGCTCGGGTATATGCTGGGAGACGCAGGACATAGTTTCGTAGTGGGCTTTGGGAACAATCCTCCAACACATGAACACCACCGTGGAGCGTAAGTGGTAATTTGGTTGGCGCACCAGAATATTAAAATGATTTTGCTAGTTTCACTTTCGTATCAATGGCAGTGTGAAAATTCGTTAAGCTTATATAATCATCATTATCGTTATTGTTGTTTTTATAAAAATAATATTAATGATAATAATCATTATAATAGTTATTATTATCACCATCGGGTCGTCATCGTCGCCATTATTATTATTATTATTATTATTATTATTATTATTATTATTATTATCGTCAATAATTTCAGTTCATGCCCCAACCGTCCCGCCCCCTGCGGCCAGGCCCAGTTCTCCACTCCTAACCCCAATCCCCAGGTCCTGTACGGCGCCCTGGTGGGAGGACCGGGTCAACATGACGAGTATGCTGACGTCAGATCTGATTACGTCAAGAACGAGGTCGCCACGGACTACAATGCAGGATTCACATCAGCAATTGCAGGTAGTTTTTTGTTTTTCTTCTCTTTTGAAAGGGGTTTTTATCATTGGCGGCAGGGTTACAGAGAACAAAGTTCATTCTAACTTGAAGGAGTAAAAGAGATCAGAACTTTTAGGCCGAAAGTTGGTTCGTTGTGTTGTACATAAAACAGAGATTAAGAAAGTAACGACAGCCCACGAAAGTATAGCAGAATAACATAAGTCTTAACCAGGCAATTTGTAAGAGTTTATGTATTCAGAATGTTTCTCGTTTTTTCAGCCTTGAGTCACATGGACATGACAAATGACGCACGCGCATTTCTCTTCCGTCAGAAGTAATTACAACGGCACCATGGTCAATGACATCACAAAGGATTACCACCTGGAGAGAAAGAAGTGACCGAATCCTTTAAATAGGACTAATTCTGAATTGAACTGTCTTTAGAAAATAATTTTTTTGCAATAAAAAAAAATTTAGACTGTCCTAGCCAATACAGTACTAGATAAACTCTCATGTTGAAAAATTCAGTCCGTTTCATAAAAGAATTATCAGCCCAAAAATGTTATATATTGAATAAGAACTTTTTGTGGCTTTCAGTTGAAAGTTAATTTGTTAAGCTGGTTCTTCAACTTCACTGAAATAGAATACAATTCCTGTAAAGTATATGTTAGTTTATATCGGTTCAAAATAAACATTAACAAGCTCTCCTGCACCATTACTTTTCCTAAGAAGCACGATTTTATCCAAACGATATAATCGATTTGTTTTCAACTGACGCACTTAATAGAAAGGTTCCTTCTAATGTAAAATGTGAAAAAAAAGACATATATAGCCGGATAAATTTTGTTAAAGCTTGTTCATAACGGTATATTTTAGTTAAATTTGAAAAAAGTGGTCAATAGATAAAATATTACTGGGGCAAAAGGGTAATTGCACACTTTATGGTGACAAATTTTAAGATCCAAATGACGGCCTAATGTTAAGAAAATGAAACATTTTCTTATTTGATTGCTCAGTTAATAACTAGAACCTACTATTTTTTAAAATTATTGTTATTTTATTGCATTTTTTTCATGTGTAACAGTTAATTGGGATAGTTATGACAAAAAGCAAAAATATCATTTCTTTGTGAACCTTTAAATATCAAATTACATATGTATAGAATTATGACTTTTTACAAATGAATTCACATTTTTTCAAATACATATGAAATGATTAACTCCTTCACTGCCCTATTCGTACTTTTAAGGCACGATCAATAAACATCAACATGATTGGAAAAGGGCAATTCTCACCAAAAATAAAGTAGGACTTCTAATTCTTCAAAACATGCTGAATATTAAATTGACATTTTTAAGAGTCAAATATTGCATTTTTCAAGCATCTAAAGATGACTAAAAATTTTAATTTATTTAATTTCTTGGTGACAAGCAGGGACTAATCATATTTCATTTCAAAAATTGGCTTCAGGCAGAGCTTTGCATACAGTTTGGGCTTCCAAACAACTGTGAAAATAAATGGAAAATGCCATCAATACCAGACGAAGTACTTGTCAAGAAAAATCTGCTTAATTTACCTTTAAGACATTATTTATTTATTTTTATCAAGTCATAACAACCTTACCTACCATACAATAAAGATACAAGAACAAAGAGCAAAGACAATACTGCACCTAATAATCCAGGCATAAAAGTTCAAGATTTTGAAAAAAATATTGACACCAAAAGTACAATGAACTAAATTGACATGATGGCTCTAATAACGATAACAGTTTGAAAATACAAGCAAAAGGTAATAAATGCAATGGACATTTCACTTGACCACACATGTATAAAATAACATGCAAAGGTACACAAAAGAGCAGAAAAAATGTTAGTGTTTTCACTTCAAGCAGCCTGAGGTAAATGAATTTTATGAGATAGTCGTTTTATTGCAGATGACATGGTATAACAAGTCTGCAATGGTGTAGGGCAACTGAGAAGTAGATTAAGTGTCTGACTAGCAAAATATGTCCAAAGTTACTATCTGACTACAACTATGGTGATGATTTCATCACTAACTAAAGATTTCATGTAATAGGACTAACTGTTTACCTGGCCAGAAAGGTCGAATGTGCAGAAAATATAATTGTAAGACAACGGGAATATAAATGCAAGCTTTATCAAAGACTCCCTTTACAATGCGCAACTATTAAGCCCAGATTAATATCTCCCACAAAATCCAGTATTTTATAGAACTTTTTTTTTCTACAAAAAAGTTGGAAAAAAATACATCCCAGTTCATCAGCCACAAAGGTCCCTTTTCAAGTCATAAATAAACACTTAAATAAACAAACTAAAATTAATAAACAGCAAATTAAATTAATAAATTAATGAACAGCAGTGCCAACTAACAGTCTTTTTTTTTTTTAATTCCCATCTTTATTTCTTTGCTGTTTTTTCCTTTTTTGTCGGTGACGTCTCTGGTTGCAGGGACAGGCTCTGAGATGCCATACGTCTGACAAGCAGTGCCAACTATTGTCATTATGCCACACTAACAGTCTTTTTTAAGATCCTGATCTTCATTTCTTGACAGTCTTTCGTTTTTTTGGTGGTGACGTCTTTGGTCGCAAGGACTGGCTCTGAGATGCCATCCTTCTGACACGAGTCCTTGTTGGCACCGATGTCTCCTGGTGCTCTTCTGTGGATGGAGATAGCAAACTAACGGGACTGTCAGACGGACTGCTAACTGTAGTTTTTCTTGTTCTGGAAAACAAAATCACAGCGTAACCATAAACTTAGTTAAAGTTAGTGCAAATGTAAAAAAAAAAAAAAAAAACATGATAAATGCGTAACAGTCCCCATACCATAGAATCTAGCATATTTATCAAGCAAGTTAATTATTTTAATCTTTGATTTTATGCTTGCTTGATGAATATGCTGCAAAAAAATGAACAAATTGAGATGGTGACAGACAGACACACACACAGTCTCATATTCACTCACTTTGTACTTTTCTTTGCTGCAGCTTTCTTTGGTTCCTTCTTGGCTTTTATCTTTGCGCCCCCTAGTGGTGAGCCTTCAATGACTTCTTCTTCCTCCAGTGGCTCCATCTTGTGGGAGCGAGTCCTGGTTACTGGAGGGGAGAAAACAAACGGCAGCCCTGGCATGTCTAGACTCTCTGGAAGACTCTCTGTATCAAAATCAAAGAAGACAAAGGTTTTTAAGCTAAATGCACATATTTTTTGTAACCTATTTATTTGTTTATTCTTATGCACCAATATGAAGAGGCCAAACCGTAATCTAAAATACATTTCATAATAAGATTACACAAGACTGCAACATGATGACAACAGACAATTAAGACATTAAATGTGACTTCAAATTTTTCAAACAAATATACCAAATAACGTTTTTAAGAATGGCTATAATTTGTCTTTAAAATCAAATAAGCAAAAGTAGAAACACTGACATCAAAGACAGTTGTGAAGGTTTAAACATATTCTCTAGGCATTCAAAAACAGGCAAACATACTATAACAAAATAATATCTTGCAGGAATGCATGTACGAAGAAAAGTTTTAAGAATGTCAATTCTCATCTGCAACAAAAATGGGCAACAGTAGTAAATTATGGCAAATCAAACTTCAGTCTAGTACACAGTTCTACGTTACAAGCTCAGAAAACCAAACATTGTTACATACTGCTAATTGGATAAATATTGAGGAATTGGACTAAAATCACTGGCAGTCTGTTCCACCAAAGACCTAAAATGTCTTTAGACTTTGTGAAACAGGCTACAGCCATCTTACCTAAATCATGGGGGATCACTGTAGGCTCAGAAAATGTGAACTGTAGTTGTTCTGTTAGAATAAATAATAAAAACACACACACATCAAACTCATACTATAATCCTTAGTAGTATAGTGACTGTAAGCAAAATGTGTCTTTAAAAAAACCAAACTATTTAAATAATGGCAAAACTGCTGTAATTGGTGCTGATTGTACAAATATGCCAATATCATAAAGATATTCTTAATTTTAACAATTCCCAATTAAAACTACATAACACAGCAAAGCACACCAATTCAATCTGTGTCTATTGTTAAATTAGCTGAAAAAAAAAAACCACTGCAACTCAAAATCATCCACATAATTCACAGTTCTAAATTTTTTCTTGCCTTTTTCCTCGGACTTCTTCGCCTTACGTGTCCTGGCAGGACTTCTACCTGTAGACTTGGTTTTGGCGCCAATCTTTTTCACTGATTTTGCTCGTGATGTCACTGGGGTCTCTTCCACCTCTGAGGGTTGAGCAGGGACATCAGTGTCTAAAATAATCACATTGATCAGGATTATTTCTTTATTTTCAGTGGAGTTTATTTATATATATTATCTTACTATTTCAAATGCCTATTTTTCTCTGATTATAATTGTGCATGAATTCCTTAAATTATTACTCTGTAAAGTCTACTGAACATTTTAAAAGGACTTAAAACTTTAGATAACTAACATTATATCATTATCATCACTGAAATCATGTTTTATAGAGTATCACAGAAATTAATTTTTTTTTTGTATCTTTCACATAAATGTATAATAAAATGAAAATATATTTTACTTCATTCATCTGAGACTTTTTTTTTTTAATCTTACCAGTGACTTCAGAGTCCACACTGCTAGCTCTAGTGGCCCTGGTGGCCCTCCTGGGAACACTTTTGGGAACAGTTGCGGCATTTTTCACCTCCTCCTGAGGTACTTCCGTGGTCTGAGGGGCAGCTGGGGACCTACTGGGGGACTTTCTCCCCTTCCTGGAGGGACTTTTAGCCGGAGGGACCGTTTCTTTCTCCGTCTCTGTCTCCGTCTCCTCGGAAGACTTTTCTGATGTACTGGGTTCTTTTGCACTTGAAGTCTTTTTTCCTCGCCCTCCAGATTTACGCTGCCGACTTGGGCTCTTGAGCACGACTTCAGGCGACCCTTCAGATGTCAAATTGTCGACCTCAATTATCACAGATTTTTTCAAGTTTTCTGCAGGCGTCTTTCTCAGCCTGGCTGGGCTTTTAGCCCTAGTAACAGGAGCATGAGAGTCCGGAGATTTGTCCTTGTCACTGAGCGTCTCTGTGCTGCCCTCTGTTGGAACGCTACTTTCAGTGACTTTTCTTGTCCTCAGTCTACTGCCAAGTGGTGCCCCCTGTGGGGATTTAGAAGGACTAGGTGTCCTGTCCTTTTCCTTGGCAGCAACACTTTTTGCTGGAGTTTTTCTGCCCCTCCCAGGGCTCTTGGGTTTGACCTCAGGTGACCTTGGCCTACTTGGCGAAGTCTTAGATTCTGTAGATTTGTTACTCTGTCTCTGGTTTCTGCCTCTTCCTGGACTTTGAGGCACCCTCTCAGGGGATTCTGTCCTGCTAGGTGTACTGCCACGAGTTCTCCTCGACGCCTGTTGTTCTTCTGGAAGTTCAGTTCTGGTAGGTGTGCTGCCGCGAGTTCGACGTGAAATTTGATCTTTTTCAGGGGAATCCGATCTACTAGGTGTACTGCCCCGCGTTCTTCTTGGACTTATTGATAGTTTCTCTGGCGATTTTGATCTTGCCGGTGACTTCCTAGTTCTTCTAGTAGGACTTTTTTCACCAACATCCTCTACATTTTCTGCTGCTTGATCTTTGTCTTTGACAGGAGATTTAGATCTACTAGGGGACTTAGTGCCCCGACTTGGGGATTTCCTTCCCTTAGACTGAATTGTTCTAGAAGGACTTGCTGCCCTTGCTTCCTGAGACAGAGGCGAACCTGAAGGACTTTCTGAACTCCCTCTTGTGCGGGTTGGACTAGGAGCTTTCCTTTCTGGAGTTCTGGACCTGCTTGGCGACTTTCGGGTCCNTTTAAATAATGGCAAAACTGCTGTAATTGGTGCTGATTGTACAAATATGCCAATATCATAAAGATATTCTTAATTTTAACAATTCCCAATTAAAACTACATAACACAGCAAAGCACACCAATTCAATCTGTGTCTATTGTTAAATTAGCTGAAAAAAAAAAACCACTGCAACTCAAAATCATCCACATAATTCACAGTTCTAAATTTTTTCTTGCCTTTTTCCTCGGACTTCTTCGCCTTACGTGTCCTGGCAGGACTTCTACCTGTAGACTTGGTTTTGGCGCCAATCTTTTTCACTGATTTTGCTCGTGATGTCACTGGGGTCTCTTCCACCTCTGAGGGTTGAGCAGGGACATCAGTGTCTAAAATAATCACATTGATCAGGATTATTTCTTTATTTTCAGTGGAGTTTATTTATATATATTATCTTACTATTTCAAATGCCTATTTTTCTCTGATTATAATTGTGCATGAATTCCTTAAATTATTACTCTGTAAAGTCTACTGAACATTTTAAAAGGACTTAAAACTTTAGATAACTAACATTATATCATTATCATCACTGAAATCATGTTTTATAGAGTATCACAGAAATTAATTTTTTTTTTGTATCTTTCACATAAATGTATAATAAAATGAAAATATATTTTACTTCATTCATCTGAGACTTTTTTTTTTTAATCTTACCAGTGACTTCAGAGTCCACACTGCTAGCTCTAGTGGCCCTGGTGGCCCTCCTGGGAACACTTTTGGGAACAGTTGCGGCATTTTTCACCTCCTCCTGAGGTACTTCCGTGGTCTGAGGGGCAGCTGGGGACCTACTGGGGGACTTTCTCCCCTTCCTGGAGGGACTTTTAGCCGGAGGGACCGTTTCTTTCTCCGTCTCTGTCTCCGTCTCCTCGGAAGACTTTTCTGATGTACTGGGTTCTTTTGCACTTGAAGTCTTTTTTCCTCGCCCTCCAGATTTACGCTGCCGACTTGGGCTCTTGAGCACGACTTCAGGCGACCCTTCAGATGTCAAATTGTCGACCTCAATTATCACAGATTTTTTCAAGTTTTCTGCAGGCGTCTTTCTCAGCCTGGCTGGGCTTTTAGCCCTAGTAACAGGAGCATGAGAGTCCGGAGATTTGTCCTTGTCACTGAGCGTCTCTGTGCTGCCCTCTGTTGGAACGCTACTTTCAGTGACTTTTCTTGTCCTCAGTCTACTGCCAAGTGGTGCCCCCTGTGGGGATTTAGAAGGACTAGGTGTCCTGTCCTTTTCCTTGGCAGCAACACTTTTTGCTGGAGTTTTTCTGCCCCTCCCAGGGCTCTTGGGTTTGACCTCAGGTGACCTTGGCCTACTTGGCGAAGTCTTAGATTCTGTAGATTTGTTACTCTGTCTCTGGTTTCTGCCTCTTCCTGGACTTTGAGGCACCCTCTCAGGGGATTCTGTCCTGCTAGGTGTACTGCCACGAGTTCTCCTCGACGCCTGTTGTTCTTCTGGAAGTTCAGTTCTGGTAGGTGTGCTGCCGCGAGTTCGACGTGAAATTTGATCTTTTTCAGGGGAATCCGATCTACTAGGTGTACTGCCCCGCGTTCTTCTTGGACTTATTGATAGTTTCTCTGGCGATTTTGATCTTGCCGGTGACTTCCTAGTTCTTCTAGTAGGACTTTTTTCACCAACATCCTCTACATTTTCTGCTGCTTGATCTTTGTCTTTGACAGGAGATTTAGATCTACTAGGGGACTTAGTGCCCCGACTTGGGGATTTCCTTCCCTTAGACTGAATTGTTCTAGAAGGACTTGCTGCCCTTGCTTCCTGAGACAGAGGCGAACCTGAAGGACTTTCTGAACTCCCTCTTGTGCGGGTTGGACTAGGAGCTTTCCTTTCTGGAGTTCTGGACCTGCTTGGCGACTTTCGGGTCCTGGATGGGGACTTGCGACCTTTGACCTGTTCTGCAGCAATCGTGGATTCCATCTCGGGGGCATGTCTTGGAGGTGATTTTGAGGGAGATCTTGACGCTGATCGCTGTAAATGTTGTATACGGTTACAGAAAGTTGCTTAACATTAAACAAGAAACAATACATGTATACACTACAATACAGGTCATTAAGTAAATCTGAATCTAGCATATCCTATAAGAGTCCACGTCAAAATTGATTTTCAGAATGTACGGAAATAGAAAATGCAGGATGTTGAGTTAAAATAGATTGTCAGTGTACAGAGATAGGAAACGTAGAATGCTGAAAGTCTGAGAAGAATACAAAATGTATTGCGTAAGTATACCAAGACAAATTATCAATAATTTTAAATTAATTTTTAGTCTCAAGTTCAAATGAGGGCTTAATTCAAATGAGAAACTTGCCCTAGTTAAAAGGATAACAACTGTTCATTTTGGACAAAAAAATTAATTTTCTGGGGTAAACAGCAATTTCCCCATAATTGCCAATGGTTAATGAATCAATTTTTACATTCAAAGTTAGTCACTGTTTTTTTTCTACAAAGTTTTTTTTGTAATATTTTCTTAAGAGATTATTTCAGAGTATAGCCATCTATGAAGGTCATGTGGTGTGATGACAAGCACAGATTTCAGGTTACTTGCTATAACTGTGGTATAGGATGTAGTATATTTCTATGAGTTGTTAACAATGCATTTATTGTGAAATAAAGAGTCCTTGTTCCTTTAACTACTCACCTGTCTAAGCAGTCTGCTGGGAGACCTGGTTGGTGAGCCTCTCACGGACTCTGGAGGTGTGGGAAGAGCTGGCAGGGAGATGGGACGTGGAGAGAGATGGGACGGTCGGGGCGGAGTTTTGAACTCCGAGGTCTGAAAAAATAAATAAATAAATAATGTTGGTTTTAATGAAATTTTTCTGGTGTTAAACCTAGGGTCTTGCTCTGAAGTTGTTGACCTTGTTGAATTAAAAAAGTAGAGAAATAAAGTTTTTTTTTTACAAAATGTCCCAAGAATTTCAAACAATTAAAAGAATGTCCAGAGTGTAGGATTCGGACAACACTTTCTATCTACTCTTTTACATGATCACAACTAATCTCCAGCACTGAACTTTCTATTTCAAAATGGTGTAACATAAAATCTTCTCCTTCTTCAAACTATTTTTACTTTAACTTGACATACCTGTTCAGATATTTCAGAATGAGCAAATCTTGGGGACCTCCTGACTGGCGACGGCTGTTCCAAACTGGTGACAGAATCCGGAGGAATCACAACCAAAGGTGCTAATGTCACAGTTTCATCTTCCCTCAGCACTGACCCAGCTTGAAGTTTTATCTTCTCTGACATATTTTTATCATATTCCGAAGGAACAGATGACTCAGCATTTTCATCAATGTCCATCTTTTCTTCCTCCAAATTTGGAAGAGGTTCACTACTGGAAGGAGCCAGACTGGCCTCTCCTGACTCCGTTTCTGTTGTGGTCAAGTCCACAGTTGGAGGTGAGTCCCTATCACCTGAGACAAGCACCTGTTCCTCATAGTTATTCTCTAACTGGAAACTGACCCTTTGATGACCAAGTCCAGCAGAGGTAGTGGATGTTACTATGGAAGAACCATCGCCTTCACTGGTCTCCATTGCTTCCTCTGGAAGTCAAAGTGACAGATTAATTTTAGTTTCAGATATGTGGTTATACCTCAGATAATGTTAAACAGTACAAAGTGTTTCACTGACCAAAGTGTTGTTTGCTGTATCTATTTCACTGTCATGTGTAACAAATATCAAAATTACAAAACTGAAACACCAGAAAACATCTCTCTGCAAAATCTCAATCTTATCACGTGTTTCCTTACATGACAAAATTTTAAAGAATTAAAAATTACATAAATGTACAAATTACAAAACTACCACTTCATTCTTTACATTGCAAATGCAGTCAATTATTCAAACTTCTCTCTAAGAGGGTAACAAATAGGTCCTTCAAATGCTGATTCAGATAAAGCATTCCGAGGATATTTAAGTATTTACCATCTGCTATTGCCTCTTCCTGTTTTGATTTGTCAAAGTTAAACGTGACTTCTGCGTCGACGACTTGTATGTCATCATCAGCAATGTCGACACTGGTCTTTTTCTGACTGCCAGTGGGCGTCTGTTCCTCGTCTGTGTCATTTCTCAGGGGTCTACGAGAGCTTACTGTAACCTGCTCTGGTGGCGTCCTTTTGAAGAGACAAAAGACAACAATCAATGAAAAAAAAATCAATAAAGATGAAAGAAAGATAATCAAGTCATGCCCAAATTTGGTACATGACCTGCATTTAGGACTGACGAGTAACCCAAAATCTGAAATGTGAAAACAAGCCCCCCCCCCCCTCCCCCTATTGTCAAAGAGATTCTATGCAGGCCACTGGGGGAGAGAGTATGACAAAGCAGGTTACTGTAATTATATGTTGAGTTGTCAAGACCAATATTTCTCTCTTAATTTTTTTTAAGATACCAAGGACTTGGTATCTATTATGACAAGTTTTTTAATCATGAAACCATTTATCACAACTACCGCAATAAAAAATCAAATGAAATGAACAATTACACAATTGTATACATTTCTACAAAAGTACCACTTGATTCTAAGTACTTTAAAAATTTAAAAAGTCGCCAAAGTCAATTGTTCCATCTTATCTCTCCAGCTGCATACAGGTCGCAACTTTCTTTCTCTTCAACCTACCTTTCTGGTGTCGGACTTCGACGGCGTGTTCTACGTGGAGACGGCGCCTTTGGTGGACTTGGTTCTGGTGACGGTGTGGACAGGCCTGCAAACCTCAGGTGCTTTGGAGTGTCCTTGACCTTGGTTTTTCTGACCTCGACCTTCTTCCTCTGATACCTGGGTGGAGTCTCCAGAGCGAGGTCAGCATTGAGGAATGCTGGGAAAAAAAATTAAATATGTCATGTTAAAAGTCTTATTTCTTGTCTACTGCTCACTGAAAATATATTTTCAATTTAGAATGACTAAAAAATGTATCAGTGAAATAAAAAGAGGAACATAAAAAAGAAAAATCAACCATTTTTATTAGTTTTCAAAGTAAATCTAAAAAGTTATTAACACTATTTAATATTGCTGTTAAAGATCAATTGTAGAATTGAGAAAAAAATGGAACAATCAAAATAATATTCTTGAGCAAAATAATCTACAATCTAAGAAAAAAATATTTCCCATCTGGTGGATAAGTGAATAGTACAAACTGACAGCTAGCACTTACAGAGTCTCTTAATGGTCTGTGGCTGGTCCTGCTGAAGCGGGCTCGGACTTGGTGAACGCTTGACCACCTGACGAACTTTGAGAATGGACTGAGGAGTATGCTGGAGTGACGTCAGCTTCTTCAACGTCGGGGGTGTTCTTCTCTTTACAGGGGGTGTTTGAAGAAGGGAGAGGGCTTCTGTACTTAGTATCCTGTAAATAAATAAATAAATAAATAAATAAATAAATAAAACCAAAAATTTTTTAAATGTAAGAACCAGTAAGTGACCAAACAAGGACAATAACTCCAAGGAGGCAACTTGCAGTCGAAAAAATTTCAGCACAAAGTTAACTTAAACATCTTTTCCAATTATTTTAGATGGAGATAAAGCATACAGAAAAAAAATCTAAGGCGGCACATCTGACAGCTGTTGCTGTCAAAGGAGTTTACCTGTTGACATTCTGGTTCTTTGCTGTCACAGGGGAAGCCAGCGACGTCTGAGGCATTAATCCTGTCACCATTTTCTTCACAGGTGACACTGTTCTGGATCTCTCCTCCGTCCTGGCATCTCTCTGTATGCTGGGGTATACGATTTCCGTGTCTTCACTGCAGAGAGAACAAGAAAATATTCCTTCATAAAGATACTAAAGAATACAGCACAACTCTTTGGTTTTTTCCTTCTTTTTCAAAGCCTCTAGATATCAAGGTGTACTATCTGAATGATTTCACTAAAAGAAAAAAACAGCTGCATGGAATTTTAAACTATGAAGATTAAAAGTGCAAGCAGCATAATGTGGTATTTTCTCCGTCCTAGGATGTCCCTGATTAACATACAGTGGACGACTAGTTTTGTAACAAGTACTTATTATTATTATTATTATTATTCTAATACCAAAACATAAATCTGGCCAGTTATCTTTCCACTTTTTAACACTTATTATAATAAGTATTATTGTAATTTTAAATTATTATTATTATTATTATTATTATTATTATTCTAATACAAAAACATAAATTTGGCCAGTTATCTTTCCACTTTTTAACACTTATTATTATTATTATTATTATTATTATTATAACCTGATAAGGTTAGACTTGGCTCTGGGTGTGACAGGAGTGCAGATGAAGGGACCCAGTGCTGTGTCAGAAGGCTGCGGTCTGGAAATATATTAAAATGGTGTTTATACCAGGAACTACTGCAGAAACCCATGTGCTAGCATGTATTAACAGATTGTTTGCGTGCATTAGCCTATGCTAGTGTGTATTAGTGTGGAACGCCTCTCATGCATATTTGTAACCATGCGTGTGTTCGTGTGTGTGATTGAATTCATGTCTCATGATCAACAGAGCAATCCTTGGCTTTTAGGACTAAGTACATGGAACTGCATACCACAGACTGTGGAACAAATTCCATTAGTCATTTGATGAGTGCTTCTGGAGTTTGCTGGAATATTAAAGTTACCGATCTGCTGTCACCCCCCACCCGTGTCTCTCCTTTTGTCTCACCCCCCCCCCCCCCCCCCCCCCCCCCCCCACCACCACCACCACTACTACCAACACAACCCCATCCAACCCCTTCTCACTCACCTGTTCCTGACAGGTGTCTGCTCTGGCAGCGGCCGTGTCTCTCCTATCTTCTCCAGCACAGCATTGATCAACATGGCGTTAGAGATTACTTTTTGGTTGTTGTTATGGTGTACCACTGTTGACAGGGGACGGGGTCGCTGAACTATAAAAAAAAAAATAAAAAATAAATAAATAAATAAACAGATAGACAGACAGAGAGATTAATAAGTTATCAGAGTCAGCAGGGTAATATAAGACACCAGAAGTCAGTTTTACCATGATTGCAAGTGAAAATATATCAGTGAATGAGCAGAAAGTCTTTTTTTTTTGTTCTTTAAAGTAACTGAGACAAAAAGAGCCACACAGCTTCAGTGACAAGGCCAGAATAAGACAAATATCTCATAATTAAGTTAATCCCAAGAAAACACTCTCCACTTACTTTCTCTCCTGGTCAAATGCATGGTCTTCTTTGGCCTGTGGTCACTGCCAAAGGTCAGTTTTCTCTGGACGCTGGGCAGGACCTTGGAGTAACATTCCACAATGGAGTTCCTGGCAGCAGCTCTCTCCCTGGTCTTAGGGTCACTCTCGTGCTGTAGGAAAAAAATAGGAAGAAATAACCATGAGTTTTTTATCACCATGTAACGCGTCATGGAATATGTCTTCTCAGCATCTGTCAATAACTGAGAAACTTGTGAAAATGGAGAAAGCACTTCATCTAAGCTGTGAAAAGATCTTAAAAAGAAAAAGCCAAAACCAAAGTAAGATCTGAAATATCCACATCCAATTTTATTCCAATGATAATAAGTATAAGGCTCTTTTAATACCCTTGATAGAGTTGATACAGAACTGGGTATATAATGAAGCAATTACTCACAAGTAAAGTCTGTCCCAGTTTCTCGTTGAGTCGTATGGCCTCCACATAGCGTGCACGTTGCAGGAAATGCAGCATGAGGATCTCCATGTTGCGTGTTTCCTTGCTGTCACGCAGATATTGTAAGAGCTGCCTCTCCTCCCCGTCTGTGAGCGGTAACTGTAGGAGACGGTCTATTGTCTTGGCTGAAAATAGTGACGTAAAAATTACGAATAGGTGTCATTTGGATGGTGGTGAAGGTTGAAGAGGTGGGGTGCAATTAGACAAGGAAAGGTTTCACTAAATAAAAAGCTAGTATTTCTTGACATAATAAATGGCAAACAATTTTATATAAATAAAAGTTTCAGGGTGACAAAGAATTCTTATGAATGTCATATTCACATCTTATGCTTTTACACTAGAGTCTACTTGCAATGATGTTTGTTTATCAGTTATATAATCATAAAAACAATATATTGTATGTCAACAGTGGAGTGTGTCACTTACTCTGCTGGCAGGCAGTGAAGAGATGTCCCAGTAAATTATCATTATCCCTCTCATTATTACTGCACACTTTCTGGTATTCAAAGGCTTCGGATATCAGGCTGAAAAAAAAAGCGGAAAACCACAAACTTTTATTCACAGTTTTTGGTATTTAAATGCTTAAGATTTCAGACTAAAATGAAATAAATCAAATATATTTGACAAAGACAGCACATATACAGAGATTTATCAAAGGAATTAAGAAACAGAATAAATGACAGTTGGTAAAAAATAGATTTTTTTTAAGAAAGAAGACTAAATCCAATCACACTTGTTGAAATATTTGTGTTTGTTCCAAACCATTTTTCTAACACCTATACCTTCATCTTTAAACTGAGATAGATAAGTTATTTTTTGAAGCATTCTAGTCTATATGATCCATATTCTGAAGGTGGAAGTCACAGTCAAGTTTCAAGATTTCCCAACCTAACCTCTGACCCCTGACCTCATTACTTACCCATTGGCCAACAACACAGTGAGGTGTAACCTGATGTCCTCGGGGGTCACCAGAGGGGGCTTTTTCACACGTAGGAACTTCAGGGCGATCTTCTCCTCTCCCTGGTACAGGAATGCTTTGATGATTCTGTTATGTTGCCATGGTAACATTTCCTCTAGCAACATGGGGTCTAGGAGGAGTAGGACAGCTTCCTGTGGAAGAAAACATGGAACCATGTGAAATGTGGTTTATAAAATAGAATAAGAGTTGGTGATTTGAACAATTAAGTATGTTGAATTTAACACAAAACAATCTACCCTCACTCCAGCATTAATTTTGTTTTACCCAAAAAGTTGAACACATACTAACCCCAAAGATATTTGAGTCAAAATGGTGATAATAAGGCAAATATTGCAAAACTGCATGTTTTTTCTTTGAATGAATAAACTGCCTTCTGCATGTGAATGGAATCATCATGTTATTCAAATCCAATACCTCAAATCCTTGTTACTCACCTTGTAATTCACAAACAACTTGTTAATTAGTTCATCTTCTATTTAACATCCAGAGAACTGGCATAATGCTATGCCAACCACCATTTCTAGCACATTAAATCATCAACTTGTGGAAAATCTTACCTCAAAGTCTTTATGATCCAGCAGCCAAAACCCCTGTATCATTCTAGTTCTGCTCTGAGGAAGGTGGATGGCTTGGCAGAACCTGCTCAGTCTGTCTACCAACTGTTAAAAATAATAAAAATGGAAGTGTACAATAAAATATGAATAGATAAAAAACGCTGTTCAGATCCAAATCCATACCGTCTGAGCATAATTGCACAGATATTATTTAGTACACAGGAAAACTTTTGTTTTTTTTTTTTTCATATTCAAAAATATGAATGGTCTGCAGGCTTGTTAGCTTAAGCTGACTTGTTTACTGTTTGGGGAGATCTAAATAAAAAAAATGTTGTATAAAGATTGTATAATATTTAGTGTTGAAAACAGTAATATATAAGTAAACACCATAACACATTTTGATCTTTCTCTCCACTCAAGGAGATGAGGTCTAGGAAGAAGTATTATCATGAAGCAGACAACATAATCTAAATCCATCTCATCTACTCACATTCTGATCTTTCTCTCCCATCATAGAGATGAGGTCCAGGAAGAAGTAAGCCACCAGACTGTGTTTACTGGCCTGAGAGATGTTTTCCAACAAATATATCGTCAATAAAGCCTGGAATATGGTAACAATACAGTTAAAAATTATAAGCAAGTAAAATACCACATTTTCTGGCCCATTATGATCTAAATTTTGTTTAAGCTAAATAGATGGATTAATTTTTTAAAGTTCGTGTACAGTCTCTTTGTGCATCTTACTGCAAGCTTCACCAGCGTGTGTGCATGCGCGCGTGCGTGTGTGTGTCCCCGTGTCCATGCATGTGTATACCCACTATGTTGTACATCAAGGCATGAATACAGGGATGAGACTGCCATTTGGTGGAAAATAATCGGAAAAAAAAAATGTTGTAGCGTGGGTCCAGGGAGCTGCCTAGGCCAATAAAATTTTTGGTTCCCAAAAGGTCGTAAATCCCCCGATAGTCAGAAAAATCTAAACCCTGCACATGTATTTAAGCAGTCTCTGTCAACCTTTCCCTCTTACTACCAACAAAATACCAGTATTCCCTAGAGTATTCCCTAGAGGCATACACACTTACATGTAGACTCTTGGGAGGGTAGAGCCCAGCTCCGCCCTGTTTACTCCACAGAGCCCTGACAGCCGCAGCTTCTTCGTCTATCATCCCATCTATCATGAGAAGGTCCGTCTCCTGTATATCACTGAAATAACCCAGAAAATGGGGATAGAGATGAAAAGACAATTTATTTGTGATTTATGTGTGTAGGTTATCTTCTGGATATCACTGAAATAACCCAGTGGGAAAGGATAAAGATGAAAGACATTTAGTCACAAACTCGGAAAATATCCATACTCAGATAAGATATATCCATGTGACATTCATCATCCTCCTCCTCAATCTCAGTACATCAAAATATCTCTCACTCTCTGTTTGTGATAAAAAGAAATTTCTCAGTATGTAATAAAAGTGATTTTTGATCTTTATTAAATAGCATTATTCACCAAACTAATGAAGCTTTTTAATAATCTACAGGAGGTTAGAATAGGATAAGGAGGGTAGGGAGATAAGAAAGATACGTATATATTTTTTGGGGGGTGGGGGGGGGGGTGTGACAATGAAATAAAAATCTGTATCCATGCTCAACACAATCATGTGTGAGACAATTGTCATGATCAGATCGTACAAGCTGATAATCTTGGTGTATGAGACAATATCTACCTGTGCAGTCTGCTAATCTGCTGTCGCCTGGTCTGGTACTCGTGGCTGAGGACGGAGGCAGGGTAACAGTATTGGCCACTAGGGGGAGACTCTGCTTCTTAAGGAAAAATGATTGAAATTATTACATAAAGTAAACAGCTCAAAATGTATTAGCTAAAAAAATTCTAACAAATAATGAATTAATACATAAATAATTAACTTTACAAAAAATTGTAAAGAAAAATGAATAAACAAAGACAAACAAATATCAAATATACAATCAATCTTTTTATAAATTTAAGAAAGCGTCATTGTTTTGTAATCAAAAAGTTCAATTTAGGACTTATTGCAAATATACTGTGTTGTTTGATCATAAAAACATTCAACTCTACAAGGAGTGGGTATAAACATACCATCAAACTCTGGCAGTAAGTTGTTACTAAGGCACCAAGACACAGCCTGGTAGAACTGGTTTATCAGTGTCACCACCCTAAACTTCATGTCCAAGTCACCAAGACCTGGAATAATATAAACATAATTCATAATTATGTGATGGCAATTTATTTGTGTGTAGGTTCTCTATGAATAACATGAGATCATTTGTTTTGATCACAAAAGATTGTTCAGAATGAAGTGACACTGCCTCTGTAATAGGTGACAGTGTCAATGTGTCCCTTTTGTCACAGTGCTGTAAATGATCTGTTATAGTAATGTGCATTTTGTGACTGTTGTACAGAGTGAAAAAAGTATATAAAAAATACTTACCTTGGCTAGTAGAGGGTCCAGAGTTGGTCATCAGCACCTGGACAATGGTCTGCAGGTTGGTCAGTTGGAGCTGGTGCTGGTGGAACAACTGGAGCCCCTGCTGCTCTAAGGGCATCCCCGAACAGTCATACAAAGGCACACCTGAGAGAGGAGAGAGGTGGTGGTTCATAAAACGAGGGTTTTCAAAGAAAAAAATGAATATAAATGAAAGGGGATTAATAAATACATGGAAATAACAATCTGGCAAAGAAAAACAATAACAAAGTAGTCTGAAAACATTATGGGATGAAGGTTAGACAACAACAACAATAAAATAAATATCTGAATACTTACACAATTTGTCCAATGAGTCTTTCACTTGCGCCACTTTGCCCCAAGCCCAGTCCAGAATAAACCGCAAGGTGCATCCTGCATGAACAAACTCTGGAATGATGTCATGATGGTTTATAGGTCACTCAACTTTGTTATCCATACAAGAAACTTAATAAACTTTCACAGAAATATCTAACTGTATTCTCATGTGGAAAATAAGAAAACAAAAAATTTGATTCAAATCAATGAAAAAATGTCAAAGACATGTTTTTCAACTTCTTGGAACCAATCAAATATATATTATTCCAAGTCTAACATGTCTCAAAATTAGGTGAATAGAAATTGAGACAAAAATGACATTTCAATAGCTAATTTCAACAGATCAAGGACTAACAGACATGTCTCTGCGCCTCATTACATCACTTTCCTACCTCCTTCTGCAAACTGGGAGACACACGATGTAATGAACCCTGCGGCACCATGGTTAAGGGCAACAGACAGCAAGTTTTCTCTCTGTGCTTGCTGCAATGTAAACAAACACATCTCATTCACTCTTCAAACAAATGTTTGTTCATCAGTTTCACAAAGAAACTTAAAACCTAAATTTTATCAAATTTGACCTAAGATAAATAGGTGACATTCCAATTAAATAATCTATTGCACATATTCCTGGAAACATATGCATCCTATACATATTTTTACTATACAAATGCATACTATACATATACATATGATAAATATGAATACTATACATACAATAAATATGCATGCCATACTTTTGCAGTCCACACAGACACACACGCACACACACCAGACCAAAATTTTAGTCAAATGTGACACTTGATAAATCAAAGGCATTGCAATCAAGTAAAACATTGCCCTTATTCTTGAAAACATATGCACATGCATACTATACAAACACAAGCTATATATATATACACACATATATATACAAATATACATACTGCAGTCAAGTTACTAGCGGCCAGCTCGACATTCTTGGGTAAAAGTCCAGCACCCAGGCAGGAATTGAACACTTCAAATGGCTCCACAAGACCAATGGGACCTCTCCAAACAAGCTGAGAAAGAGCCTATAAAAATAATAAGTTTGGTTATAACTTGCTTAATTGGAAGAAAACCTCTCACCTCTTTCTTAAACCCTAATATGCATATGTAACAGGGTTACAAGATATCAAGGTGTTGCGTCAAGTATTCCCGCTTTTTCAGTCATGTGAGAGGATATAAAAGTTCCCCGAGCCATACTATTCTTTGTGATTTTGGGTCAGTAGAAGTTTGTCTGATGTATGTGGAAATTAGAATAAAGGACCTTTTGCTTATTTACAGCATAGTCAATTTGTTGTTTTATACTCAGCTACAAATGGCGCAGTCGACAGGATTTTGCTGACTATTCCTGTTTCCAATGTTATATTTATGTGGACATTGATGAACTCTGTGAGATCTAACCTTCGAGAAAGATGCAACTGATTGAAAACCCGACCCTTCCTATACAGTGAACGGAATGTGCTATTGTTCAGCAGAGAAGAATTTTCACTGTTGTGATGTCTTGGTTTGCGATCAACCAAGATGAGACGAAGTAACAACTGTAATGACCAGCACTGCTATTCCGATACCGATACCATAATTCAGCCAATAACTCTGTTCATTAACTCTGTATACTTTCAGACTATTCAGAGGCCGAAGATTGTCATTTACTGTCGTATCAATTGTTGGTTATGTCAGTGATTGCGAAAGCCGTCGGACCACGGCCATATGCCGGCAAAAATTCTGTGGGCTGGTACATCCTTAAAACTCATCGGCCCACATGTCCGACGGACTAAAGTCTATTTCTTAACAGGGAAAACTCGCCTCTTCAACTCGCCTCATCTGAATTTATCGTTAAGCTCTGTGCACGCACTAGATATTTTGTATCAAATACATGCCAGCCTGTCCATAAGATTTAGTGGGTGTGGTTTTTATCTGATTGGGTAGTACACCAGTAATTGACGTTTCTTTATCGATCACGCGGCAAACGAAAGTTACTCTCTCTCCAGGCAGAAGATCCTCGCTGTTGTTAATAAAGCGAATGCTGCTTGGAGAGTATGAAACCATGTGGTCATGTGACCGCAAGTACCTTCGCCGGCGCCATGTCCACGTCGAAGATCACCTCGTGGCTCGGTATTGTAGAGAAAAATAGTGAAAAAAAAAGCCCAAATACCACTAACATTAGCAGAAAATCTTTTTTTCAAGAGT